TGTATCTTCTATATATATATAAATGTGCATCCATCCACATCAGAATCAGAATCAGCTTTATTGGCCAAGCATGTTGAACACACACAGAATCTGACTCCAGTACCTAGAAAAACACATGAAAAAACTGTGCGTTTAAACAGGAAATAAAAGAAACAAAAACCTTTATATATCTAATTACAACTCTAGATGAAATGAACCCCAGTGTTGTTCAGAAACAATTAAAAATGCATCACTGATCTCTGCCATCCAGTGGGTGACATTTTCCTTTGATGCAGTGAAGGTGGGTACTGTAATTTTTTTTTGAGTTAATCCCTACTCTGTCCTGCTGCCTCTCAGTAGCAAGCCGAGTCCGCTGCTGAAAATAGTCCCCAACAAATGCAGTAGTTCCTCTTTTAAAAAAAAAGCATTTTTAAAAACAGGCTTGTGGCTGACAAACTAATACAATACATACAGTAGCTGTTGATGTTTCCATGGGATTTGTTGACATAAATGAAAGTGTATGTGTATATACATATATAAAGACTTATTCTTCAAGATTTCTAATTTGTGATTAGGAGAAAAGCAGACTTGTATTCACTTTGTAAAACTGTTCATTTGTACAGTCTGGATCTGTGCTATAAATATAAATGTCTTTATAGTTCTAATGTCCTGTCTTTTGTATTTTACTTTTTTGACATTTCAAATACCTTTTTGTCTCAGAATAGGTTTGTTATTTAGTTTATCCTTTCACAAATTTATTCCTTTTGACTATTTCAGTTCAGTTCATTATTTGGTATAGTACCAAATAATTTCATTATACTCAATGATGAATTTGTATTTTTTTTTATCACACTAAAATCAGACTTCTTAAATTATAGACACATTACACACACAAACAAGTTAAATAAATGCAGTTTGCTTTATGTTAAAGTTTGTTTATGTTTTATGGCAAACTGTACTTTAGTTTACATTTTATTACACTTGCTTCAGTGACCACAAAGAAAATGTACAGTGAGGAACAGAAGTATTTGAACACCCTGCGATTTTGCAAGTTCTCCCACTTAGAAATCATGGAGGGGTCTGACATTCACATTGTAGGTGCATTCCCACTCTGAGAGACAGAATTTAAAAAAAATTTCAGGAAATCGCATTGTATGATTTTTAAAGAATTTATTTGTCTTGCACTGCT